TTAGATCTTGAAGAATAAATAGGCGCTTTCTAGGTCATGGTGCTAGCTAGATGCATGAGCTGGCAAAAGTGGTGGAGTGTAGGGGAACCATTAGAGACAAGAAAATGTGGCCGGGCATGGTGGCTCACGCCTGTAATCCCAGCACTTTGGGAGGCCGAGGCAGGTGGATCATGAGGTCAAAAGTTCGAGACCAGCCTGACCAACATGGAGAAACCCCGTCTCTACTAAAAATACAAAAATTAGCTGGCATGGTGGTACTTGTCTGTAATCCCAGCTTGGGAGGCTGAAGCAGGCAGATCACCTGAGGTCAGGAGTTCGAGACCAGCTGGCCAACATGGTGAAACCCCGTCTCTACTAAAAACACAAAAATTAGTTGGGTGTGGTGGCACATACCTGTGATCCCAGCTCCTCGGGAGGCTGAGGCAGGAGAATCGCTTGAACCCAGGAGGCGGAGGTTGCAGTGAGCCGAGATCACGCCACTGCACTCCTGCCTGGGTGACAAGAGCAAAACTCCGTCTCAAAAAAAAAAAAAAAAAGAGAAAGAAAAAGGTCATTAACTGGAGTATAAGCTCATGTTAGCAGTGCTTTATCCTGATGGCAATGGTAGATGGACTTGGAAGTGGGGAGGGGGCCCTGAAGACAAAAATCAGTTAGGAAGCTATTGTAATAGCCCAATGAGAGATGGTCCATCTACTGGGGCACATCCTGCTTTTACATTTGTACCATGTACATTATGGACTTGGACTTGTTTTACATTGCCCACAAAACACATACACAGAAGATAAGAAGTTGTTGTTCAAAAGCAGGAAAACAAGTATCATTGCTTCACCATAGGGGACATTTATTATTTGTCTTCCCAGAATAGATCCCCTTTCCTTTGTGGAAGGACTAATGCCCTATTGCAACTTTGCGGTGTGCCAGGAACTGTCTATCACAATACTGCATGATCACATGACCCCATCCCAGCCAATTGGAGTTCTTCTCTTGGATTTAGTGCGTGCACGTGTGTGTGTGTGTGTGTGTGTGTGTGTGTGTGTGTGTGTTGCTGATGTGGGATCATGCTCTTTCCTCTCTGGTCAGGAGACTATAAAGATGTAAGCCTGAGCTACCTGTGGCCATGATTCCAGACCCCTAAGAACTGCCAGCCTGAGAGAACAGAGTTAAGAGGGAAGGATTTGAATCCCTGGACCCAGCTGTCCAGAGGGCCTGCTTCTCTCTGGCTTTGAGTGGGTTTTTGTTTTGTTTTGCTTTGTTTTTTTTTACATGAGTTACATATTTTCTACTGGTCTCTTTATTTTTTTATTTTGCAATTTAGGGCACACACACAGACTGAGTATCTGTGGTATGTCCCTCTCACTGTCTCTTAAGGTAGTTTTAATTAGGTCCTGTCACTTCTGGCAAAAGACCCTGGCCTAATGTATGTACCCAGGATGGCATCCTCCCATCAGACCTAATACAAAGAAGCTGCTCAGAATACATCTGGAAAGAGAAGAGCACAGAAAAACAGTCTGAAGGAGATGCCCAAACGAAGCACAATTTGATAGGCCCCACCAGTTGCTGCCATGCACCGGGCAGTTTTCCTTAGGCCAGGTGGACCAGAGAACAGCCCTACACTTAGGGAGTGCCCCCTCTTCACATATCCTAGATGCCATCCTCACTTGCCATGGGAAAAGGCATTCTTATTCACAAACCCCACCGTGACTAGGCCTGCCCAGGGGGTCCTCCTTTCTCTCTTTCCAAGTTTCAAAAATGCAAGAGAACTGTGAAAAGATAGTCAACAAGGAATACTTTTCCATCAAGGTACAGAGGAAGCACTTGAATCCATTCAAGGAACTACGACCTCCTGGCTCCCACCACCAACCCACTTCTAGCTGAGCTAGCTCCGGTGTGCACCTTAACAGAGAAGCCTCCCTGATTACTATTTTAAAGAACAAGCTGTTCCTACCCTCATCCCCTGCTGGTACTCTCTTAGCCAACCTGGCATTATTTTCTCCACCTCTGATTATCACTGAATGTAGTATTCATACCTTAATTTTGTGTGCCCCAACCCAACCGGAATGTAAGCTCCCGGGGACCAGGGGCTCTCAATTCTCTTCACTGTTCTATTCCCAACACCTAGGACAGTGCCCGCCACATGCTGTGTTTTCGACAAATATCTGTTTAATAAATGGACATGCAATGATCCAAGACTGGGAACAAGTTAATAGCATTTTGTGATTGAGAGAGTAGGTTGAGGAGAGATCTGACTTCAGGTCTCCAGGAGCTTAAAATGAGCAAGAACTTGATATGCTCCATCTTCAGGTGGACTAAAAGAAGAAATGGGACCAATAGGACTCATCACACTTTTAGGTCCAAGCTAGTGGTACATTGCTTGGACAGCTACTGTATTTGCCTACTTAACATGCACTTACTCTTCTGACAGCAACCCCTGATTTTCCTGGTGTCTACCCCAACCTACTTTTGGAGGTAAGCAGGTGACCTCATTTGGCCCATCAGCAGACCCCATACCTTTGCTCACAGTGATTGCTTTTTGTCTGGACACATGATCCAATTCAGGCAAGAAGAATCAATCCCATGACTTTTGCCAAAGCAAAAGGGAAAATGAAACTCCTTCCAGGGCCAGGCATGGTGGCTCACACCTGTAATCCCAGCACTCTGGGAGGCCAAGGCAGGTGGATCGCTTGAGTCCAGGAGCTTGAGACCAGCCTGGGCAACATGGTTAAAAAAAAAAAAAAATCTCTACAAAAAATACAAAAATTACCTGGACATGGTGGCATGCACCTGTGGTCCCAGCTACTTGTGGGGGCTGAGGTGGGAGGATTGCTTGAACCCAGGAGGTCGAGGCTGCAGTGAGCTGTGATCGTGCCACTGCACTCCAGCCTGGGTGACAGAGCAAGACCTTGTCTCAAAACAAACAAACAAACAAAACCTCCCTCCACAGGGACACTGCTAGCAGGACAGATGATGAAGCTTGGAGCTGCTGGAGTCATCACCTGAATCCGAGAATAAAGCTAACTCAGAGGAGAGCACCACAGAGATGTCAAGGGACCAGCTTGAGTTATCTCCCTGGATGTGACCATGTCTGCAGGTACTGGAAATTTCAATCATGTGAGCCAATACATTATCTTCTGGGGAACCACATGGAAATGGGTTTCTGTTACAACTGAAATCATCCTGACCAATGGATTTAGGGCTCTGAAGAACAAAAAGGAAATACATCATTAGGGCTCTTAAATGCCTCAGAGGAAAGCCTAACATCAGGCAAGGTGTCCCACAAATGCAATCTAACACCTTTTGGTGAAACTCATTGCCTGTCTTTTTGGTGAGTAGGATAGGAGCTGCGGAGAAAAAGGCCATTCTACTTTTATTAAGTATCTGCGGTTACATTTTGCAAATGATTTCAGCAACCTTATCTCAGGTGTTTTAACATCGCAGCACCTCACAGTTGTAAGGAACAGAATCAATCTTGTACTCAGTGCACAGGGGGAGAGAGCATGATAGAGCAAAAAGATCACTGAACCAAGAGTCCAACAATCTGGCTTTTCGTCTTTATCTGATCACTGATTAGCAGTGTGGTCTTAGACAAATCACCTTGCTTTTGTTGGTCTCATGACTACCTCGTCTTCAAGCACTCACCCAACTCTGCAATGGAAAATCTGCTAGGACAGGGGTTCTTAATTTTTGATGGGGCCTGAGCCCCAGGAAAACACACATTGCGCACATGATTTTACGTTGCATGGGGTTGACAACTCTAGAAGCCAGTCTACATCTCTAACCTCTCTGCTTTACAGTAACACCAGCTTCTGCTTGCACGCTTCTCCAGTGAGAGGGAGCCAACTACTCACAAAAATGAAGGATGTGTTATTGTGCTCTACAAGAAAAATATGTGTTTGTTTATATATATATATATATATATATTTTTTTTTTTTTGAGATGGAGTCTCACTGTGTCCTCCAGGCTGGAGTGTAGTGGTGCGATCTCGGCTCACTGCAACCTCCGCCTGCCGGGTTCACGCAATTCTCCTGCCTCAGCCTCCCGAGTAGCTGGGATTACAGGCGCGCACCACCACGCCCGGCTAATTTTTTGTATTTTTAGTACAGACAGGGTTTCGCCATATTGGCCAGGCTGGTCTTGAACTCCTGACCTCAGGTGATCCACCCACCTCAGCCTCCCAAAGTGCTGGGATTACAGGCGTGAGTCACCATGCCTGGCGTTCTTCTTCATATTAAACCAAGTTCTATACACTGTAATTTCTACTCATTGGTCCAAGTTCTCCACGGCAAATCAGAAAACTTGTTTCTCGCCTGTAAATGACATCTCTTCCTCTCTCTCTGAAGACTGTTTCTAACTAAAAAATGTAGATGATTCGCCATGAAAATTATTTTACTGTACATTGTTACAAAGATATGTTCTTCCACCTCACCCCTAATGTGCCAAATGTTCAAATGTAGATGCTGAAGTCTAAATAAGCACGCTGCTATTAATCTGTATAGATCTAGGTTTTGCAAAGAGGAGAATTGCTGTATAAAAATATCTTGAAAGAAACAGCATAGTATTTTGGGGAAAGCACTGCATTCAGAATCAGAAGACTTGGAGTAATACTGGGTCTCATATTCCAACTACCTGTGTATCCTTGGGCACGTCACTTCTCTCAGCCTGGTTCTCTTCTGCAAAATGCGACAGGAATGCAGTGAGGATCAAGTGAAATAATGTTTGTAAGCTACTAGCGCAAGGCTGGGAACGTAGCAAATTCTCAATAAATAAATGCCAGCTCCCGCGCTCAGCAAACTCCGAGTTTTATTCGATGCGCTCGGCGCTCTTGGTCGAGCGGGATTCCCCCTCCGGAGCCCGAGTCTGCGCTCTGGGCTCGACTGAGGCTCCCTGGCCGCTCGCGCTTTTCTCTCCTTCTCCAAGATGGCGGCGATCGGCGGCGCTGAGGCGGGATCCGGGCGAGCCGAGTGAAGGTAGCGGCGAGCGGAGACCCCAGGAGACCGGGCTGGGCCCCCACCCTGAGGCGGCAGCAGCCCCGCCCCGCCGCCACCTGCCGCCCTGGGCCCGCGACACCACCTCTGGGGCGCCCCAGGCCCGTCGCGGCCTACCCCAGGGGCCGAGCCGGGGACTGGAGTAGCGGCCGCAGCCGCCCCCAGGAAGGGGCTGGAGCGGGCAGAAGGAGGAGGGCGGACGGGAGCTGTTCAAACGGGGAAGGCGGGAAAGCTGCGGGGCCGGGAGGGGGCGTGCGGCCGCCCCGGGGGCCTGCGGACCCGGGCCGCCCCTCCCCCTGCCCGGGCCGTCTCCGCCCTCGGGGGCGCCGTAAGGCCGCCGGGGACGCGGGAACCCGGGTCCAGGTCGAGCTGTGCGGCTCGGAACCCGCGATGCGGGGGTCCCTCGGGCTGTCAGGGGGAAAGCGCTCGTGGCCGTGGCCACGGGAGGGCTGGGGCCGCGGCTGGCAGGAGAAGGTACGAGGAGTTTTCTTCTTTTCCTTTTCATAGAGCTTTGTTGAACTAGCTGTTGCCGCAGAACTGCCGGGAGAATCCCACTCGTTTGCCGTGGGGACCACAAAAATGGTGGTCCTGGGGGCTGTTTGTGTAAATCACTGGGTATTGTGTGTATTCTTTGCGTGCAACCCGGCTTGGCCATGCCTTCGTGGTGGGAGCCTTCTCCGTGCAGGCCCATTTTCCCTCCACCAACTACTACTTGTAGATTCACTTTATAGCGTGCAAACGCGGAGAAACATCTCCGTCCCCTCTTGCTGAGGGCTGAGCTGGTGGCTGATTATATTTCCTCCTAATAGAACAAATTAAAAAACTGAATCCCAAATAAAGCCTGTTGATTGGACAAGGCTTGTCAAAATTTCTATTGCTGGTCTTAGGGAATGTGTGTTGTCAGCCAATCTGTGCGGTGGTCGTGGTTCCGCTTAATTGCACTGCAATGAGAGGATTCCATCCCCATCCCAGACTGTCGGGATCTCTGCAGCTTCCAGAGCTGGCAGGGGCTGGGAGTGCTGCCTAGGTAGGTCCCTGGAGAAGGGAGTGGCGAGAGGATTCGGAGTCACTGTGTTCGGAGATTGGAGGAAACCTGGACGAAGATGAGAAGGCATCACTTGCCTGTATCCTAGAAGTAACAAGAAAATTTCAGAAATTGGCAACCAGCGGATGTGCCTCTTCCTTTACCTGCACTGACAGGCATTTTGAGTTATTGAAAGGAGTGTTGGAAGAAGAGAACGAAGAATCTTGGACCTGGCTCTCATCCTGGAACAGACCTGGATTTCAGAATTTCTCTTACTGCCCGTTTGCGGGACTCACTTTGTTTCTTTTTTTTCAATGCTCATTTACATTATGGGGTGAAGAAGCTTGTTGATTGCCGGAGCTCAAGTTACCTCAAAAAAACAAACATCTGAAACCTTTTTTTTAGTATAATTTGAAGTTGCGAAATAACAAAGTACTATGTGTGAGGATTTTTTCCCTCCTAAATACTTTGGTCATCCCAAAGGCCTATGCCTGAACATAACTTGTATACTTGTCTACAAGAGAAAGAGCAACTCTGCCGCCTCCTTTTCATATCCTAAAGAAAAGTCCCCGAAGAGCTATTTAACAATTTGTGCATTTCATAAGTATACATTTTTATGGTACCAGTTTTTTACTTGTATCAACAGTATGAAATAATGAACTTACGTTGTCATATCTTGGCACACTGAGACAAACAAAATTATTCCTGCCTCTTGGCAGTTGACAACATTGAATTTTATAAACTCCCAAATTGACTTGAGAATGGGTTAACACCTGTTTCACATTTGCCAACATTTAATGTAATTATGACCTCCCTTTTCTAATGTGAAAATCAAACCTAGTATTTTTCGTTTTCTTTAATTCTCACAATCTACTCTCTACCCCTGGACTCTGAATTTTCACAGATCGTATTCAAGACCTGGAAGGAATACCAGGGGTTCGTCTGATCTTATATAAATGTTGCCTGAACTCTGCCTTTCTTTCACACTGTTGCTTGAGATTTATCTGGTATCTTTCTTCTATGAGTCAGCAACCAAAACTAAACCCTAAGCTGCAATAATATCCTGATTTTAAAGAATGTAGAAATTCAAGGCCCATGATCTGCCCAAGCTGTGAGTGATAACAGTCCGTTGTGTTTAATTTTAGTTTTCCAACCTCTTGGCTGCCCCAGTTCTTTAGTGAATTGGACTTGTCTTCAGGCCTCATTCCTTTTTTTTTCTTCAGGTTATTTAATCCAGTAAATTATAAAGTGCTCTTCAGTGTTTTAAAGAAAATGTAAACAGTGGCAGACCTAATCTAATATGTAATGCTAACACATTTTCTGTGTTGGCCTGTGCCTCTGAGAAGCAGTTCCTAATTTTCTACTCCCTTTCACACAACTTTTTAATCCACAAGTTTTTTAAAGCAGCCAGTAACAAGACCACGATACAGTCATCTTCTTTCTTTCTGTTTTCAGAGGTACTTATTTCTGTTCTGTTAAGTTGCCCGACTATGTTTTATGTTGATTTTGATGTTACCAAAGGGAAGGCCTATTTGTAAGTCTCAGGACCAGCCTCTGCTTACATTTACAAGTGCATTTATTTTGTTGTTGACAAAACATTGATGACTGTATTTATGACATGGAATATTTAAGTTTTTTGCCATTATTTCTTAAATATTCTTTGCCAAAATTCATGCATGAAAATTCATGCACAGAAAGTGTTTAATTTGAAGTCTCCAGTGGTTTTTGGTGTTATCAGCCTATGAAAACCAATATAATCTGTATATTTTTCTTATACACTCAGTATTTTAGTGCCTTTGAGAGGATCTGCTGTTTTCAAATAAATGAATATAATTTCCTATATTTCCCTTCTCCTACCTGCACCCCTTTTGGAGTCAACACCACTTGGGTGGAAAGGGGAGGACAGTAGTTTCCACTGAGAAACTTTCATCCTTAAATGCTGGAACATGAAAAACTGGCTACATTATGTATCTTGCCTCCTCACATTTTTATCTGAGGCCTGACCTTATGTCCCCTTCGTTTCCTGTGAAAAGGCCCATCGAACAGGCAGTTCTCCAGTTTATCTTTAAAACAATCCAGTTAATATAGTTTCATTACTCTAGCTTCTGTTACTTTGACCAAATCCATTCTTTATTTCACTTCTCAGAGAAGTGAAGAAATGCTTTTTTATGTTTCTTTTCTTATAAATCATTCTTCATAATGCTTCATTTTCCTATTCAGGCCTACGTGTACATTGTATTTTATCTGATTTGTGCAAATAAGTCTTTTTAATGTAACTTATGAAAGCTTCCCTTGTTAATCAAATTCATCTTTCACAAAAGTTCCATGCTTCAGTATTGTCCACAGCTGCCTGAAGGAATTAGTAATATGTCATTTAAGTGTCCTTCAGTATTTCTAAATCCCCTTATAATAATGAAGGTCAAATTAAATTTAAATAAATTATCAATTAGATTAACTTTGTAAGCATCTGACTTAATTGGATGAGAACATTGCCAAAATATTTAATATGTAATTTTAAATTTCCTGAAGGACTTGTGACATTACTTGTTCTTAAAACTTTTAAAGAACTTTACCTTGGCTGGGCGCGATGGCTCACACCTGTAATCCCAGCACTTTGGGAGGCTGAGGTGGGTGGATCATGAGGTCAAGAGTTCAAGACCAGCCTGGCCAAGATGGTGAAACCCTATCTCTACTAAAAATACATAAATTAGCCGGGCGTGGTGGCAGGTGCTTGTAATCCCAGCTACTGGGGAGGCTGAGGCAGGAGAATCACTTGAACCTGGGAGGCAGAAGTTGCAGTGTGCCGAAACTGCCTCTGCACTCCAGCCTGGGCAACGGAGCGAGACTGTCTCAAAAAAAAAAAAAGAAAAGAAAAACAAAAAAACTTACAGTGCATTTTATAGCATTGTTATCTTCAAAGTCAAAATGGACATATAAACTCAAATGCCAAAAAAAGATTGTAAAAATTCAATAAAACTCAATACAATATCTAGAACATTTAAATTATAGCAATTCTTATTAGTGAAGATCTTATTAATCATAAAAGTTTTATGACCAGTGGACAAATGATAAATATCTCCCTATTTTCACCTAGCCTTTAAGAAAGCCTTGGTGGTGGTGACAGCTGTCACATGGTCAACTGATGTAAGGAGTGTACCTGCTTTTACAATTACATAAATTTGAACAAATTCATGTAACCCCCCCAAAACGCAAAAGAAATTATGCTCTAAAGATATTTAATATTCCTATACAGTTAATCATTTCTGTTTAAATTACAATGCAGTAGATGTTACCAGTTCACCAATCCAGTTGGTAGGATTTTATGGTCTTCAGATGTTTGGTGTGATCTGTCTTCTCTGCATCTTGCTTTACCTGTGTATTTTATAACCATGATTGAACCTATCCCTCTAACTTAATGTTGGTTTCTACCCTGTCTCAGTGTTGTCAGTCCTGTTGGCATTTCAGAAATTCTCATTAATTTTGAAAATATTTTTTGTATTGGAGGTATTTTATATACTTCCCCAAATGACAACTTTAATTCATGACTGAAATCTAATTAAGCCTAGTGTACTTCCTGCAGTATCAACCCCACTATATTTACAAAGAGAATGAGGAGGTGACAAGACACTCCTTTATTTCTTGCTGCCCTTCCAGTCGGCCCTTGGATCACTACACATTTCCATCTGGAAGGTTGCTTCTCCTCTGATTTCGCATTACAGGAGGGTTTTCCTTCTTTGTTTCTCAGACCTGGTCCTGTAGACGGGAAGGAGCCTGGACACAGTGACACATTCTCAAAGGCCCTGCAGGACCACCATGGCTTATGATGACTCCGTGAAGAAAGAAGGTATGACCCCATAATCTGAGAAGCATTCCAAAGGGGGTATCCTCTTCAATCCTTGCAGCCCATGGATATAGAGACCAGGACTGGGCACCACAGCCTGGACTCCCAAGTGATGGTCTAGAGCACTGTTATGACACTCAGCCTCCACGCCATCCCCAGACTGGGCCCATGGAAACGAAAACCAGGACAGGGGTTCCAACACGAGAGTCTGAAATATGAGTCTCTTAGTTTATTGGGGTGATCCCCTGCAGCACTCTTGGTCCTTGCCAGCTCCAGTGTGCAGGAGTCTGGGGATAGGAATCACATCCTGGACTCCCACAGAGAGCAGCACAGCACATGAATCATGAATCCTTATTCTTTTCAGCCTTTCGTCTGCAAGTCTGTGTCCACCTACCAAATCACAACTAAGAAATCATATCTGAGGTTGCACATGGGGCCTTTGCATAGCATGGAAACATTGTTTCTTCAGGTTTGATTCTTGTATTTGCAGCCAGGTCATCAAGAAATATTCTGTTCCCCTGGGTCTAGCCCTGTATTTCAGTGGACTTGATTGAAACATTGTTTTAATTTGGAAATAGAGGAACTGTTGCATTACCTCCATGGTGATTTGGTCGTTACTTACTTGACTTTCTCATTTCCTTTCCCAAATAAACCTGTGCTTCTCAGATTGTTTTGATGGTGATCATACCTTTGAGGACATAGGACTTGCAGCTGGCCGAAGCCAACGAGAGAAAAAACGTTCTTACAAAGATTTTTTAAGGGAAGAGGAAGAAATTGCTGCTCAGGTCAGGAATTCTTCCAAGAAGAAGTTGAAGGTAAGTCCTAAAAATTTAAATTAGGAAAGTCTTAAACTACTCTTTTTTTTTTTTTTTTTTTTTTTTCTGATGCAGAGGTTTTTTTTGCTCTTGTGGCCCAGGCTGGAGTGCAGTGGCGTGATCTCTGCTCACTGCAACCTCCACCTTCCGGGTTCAAGCGATTCTCTTGCCTCAGCCTCCCGAGTCGCTGGGATTAACAGGTTCCTGCCACCAAGCCCGACCAATTTTTGTATTTGGGATAGGGTTTCACCATGTTGGCCAGGCAGGTCTCAAACTCCTGACCTCAAATGATCCACCTGCCTCAGCCTTCCAAAGTGCTAGGATTACAGCCCTGAGCCACTGCACCAGGAAAGTCTTAAACTACTTCTTACCATATTTCCTAATATTTGAAGAAGGAAGTGTTTTTTAATAACTTTAGAAAAGAAAAATAAAATGTTGTGCGCATCTGTTTTTATTATTTCTTGTGCTTTGTTTCCCAAAGTCAGAAATCATCAAAGACAAGAGTGGTTCCAAACTGCATTTGCCTCATCATCTTATTATTGGTCAATTCTTCTTCTTTAATTATAGGATAGCGAACTTTACTTCTTGGGGACGGACACACACAAGAAGAAGAGGAAGCACTCCTCTGATGATTACTACTATGGAGGTGAGGATGGGAATGGGCAACAGGTGGGATAAACACATCGCTGGTTCTTGGAGTCGGGGTAGGGGAAAGGGATCCAGATGTTGCTGACTCAGTGGCCTATTTAACAGGACAGTGGTTCTTGTTCTGAGTGCCGATAAACCAGTGTGAAGGAGGAGAGAGGTGGAGGGCTGGTATTTTGGAGGATTCAGCATAGAAGAACAGTCTGCATTTGTGATACACCAGGTACCAGGTTCCTTCTCCCCCCAATCATCCACTTATCTTGTGCCCATTGTTATCTAGTATCCCTTTTGCCATATGTAGTCCTCTGGCCTGCACCTGTGGGTCACTTCTCAACCAGTGTATATCCACTCACAGAACCAGTTTTCTTAGCTGTGTTGTGCACATAGCTGACGAGACTCAACTTTTCCCAGAATGGGTTTGTCCTGAACACAGAAACAAATGGTACTCTGTCTGCACTCTGAATTGTTAACTTCCCATAATCCCACAGCTATAGTCAATTCTTCTGGGTATGTGCTCTTTGGTTGCTTCTGAAGACTCAATGAAGAGAAACAACTTTAGTGGCAAGAACTGTGTCCAGGGTCAGAGGCAGAATCCACCAAGCCAAGAAGCACAAGGGCATCATTTCTTAATGTTAGGAATCAGTTAAAGGGTCTCCCTTCAGATCATTCCTGTTAGCCTCTTTCTCATGTTAGCTAGGTGCTTTTGATGAGAGAGGAAGCTTGTTAGAAGTTGCTTCCCATCATATTGACAGTACTTCTCCTGATTATTTCTAGACATTTCGTCTTTGGAATCGTCACAGAAGAAAAAGAAAAAGTCCAGCCCACAGTCTACCGATACAGCTATGGACCTGTTGAAAGCTATCACTTCCCCACTGGCAGCAGGCTCCAAGCCCTCCAAAAAGACTGGGGAGAAATCCTCTGGCTCTTCAAGCCATTCGGAGAGTAAAAAGGAGCACCACAGGAAGAAAGTCAGTGGAAGCAGCGGGGAACTACCCCTGGAGGATGGTGCCTCCCACAAATCCAAAAAAATGAAACCTCTGTATGTGAACACAGAGACACTGACCCTTCGGGAGCCTGATGGTTTGAAAATGAAACTTATTCTTTCACCAAAGGAGAAGGGAAGCAGCTCTGTTGATGAGGAATCTTTTCAGTATCCCTCTCAGCAAGCAACTGTGAAAAAATCCTCAAAGAAATCAGCTCGGGATGAGCAGGGTGCTTTACTCCTAGGACATGAGTTACAGAGCTTTCTGAAAACAGCCCGGAAAAAGCACAAGTCATCCTCAGACCCACATTCATCTCCTGGCCCTGAAGGCTGTGGGTCTGATGCCTCCCAGTTCCCAGAGTCCCACAGTGGTAACCTTGATCTTTCAGGGCTTGAACCTATTCTGGTAGAATCAGACTCATCCTCTGGTGGGGAACTAGAGGCTGGGGAGTTAGTGATAGATGATTCTTACCGGGAAATCAAGAAGAAAAAGAAGTCAAAGAAGAGCAAAAAGAAGAAAGACAAGGAGAAGCATAAAGAGAAGCGACACTCCAAATCCAAGAGAAGTTCAGGACTTTCTGCTCTGCCAGTGGGAGAGGTCACAGTGACATCTGGCCCTCCTCCCAGCATCCCATACGCTGGAGCAGCAGCACCTCCCCCGCCACTTCCTGGCCTCCACACAGATGGGCATAGTGAGAAAAAAAAGAAAAAAGAAGAGAAGGACAGAGAGAGAGAGAGAGGAGAAAAGGTAAAGCATCTTTTAAGTGTGGTGGGGATAAGAGATGAAGCAGGTTCTTCCTGGATAGTCAATGGACTTTTAAGTTCAGCAGTTGAGGTAAACCACTGAGAATTAAGCATATTTGGGGGATATGTTGGAATGATATAAAGTATAAAATATTACCAGTGGCCCAGTCTGTCTGATACAAAAATAGGAGCAATCTTTTTTTTCTTTTATTTGTTTTATTTTTTTTGAGATGGAATCTCTCTCTGTTGCCCAGGCTGGAGTGCAGTGGTGCAGTATGGGCTCACTGCAACCTCCTCCTCCCAGGTTCACGCCTCACCCTCCCAAGGAGCTGAAATTACAGGCACCCACCACCACACCCGACTAATTTTTTTTTTTTCTTTTTTTTCTTCGTATTTTTAGTAGAGACGAGGTTTCACCACGTTGGCCAGGCTGGTTTCAAACTCCTGACCTCAAGTGATCCACCCACCTCTGCCTCCCAAAGTGCTAGCATTACAGGCATGAGCTACCATGCCCGGCCTAGGGTTTCTTAATAGAGTTATTCTCCCATTGTGCCAGGAATAGGTTTAGTTACACTGTGGCTTATTCCAACTAGTTGTTAGAATTCATAGAAGGAGCTAAACCCAGTTTCTTTCACTTAGCATCACTGTCTGCTTAGGGCAGTTGGGAGATGTCAAAAGGTGTCCTTTGAGTTCATTTTGAAAAATAGACTATCAAAATTGGTAGAACACTGAGCAATCAAGTTAACAGAATAGCTAATGACTTCCCACCAGCCGGGTTGGCTACTTTCTGGTATTCTTTTCAGCGTCGAATATATGTTCTTTTACTGTCTAAGTGGTTACTGTATGCCAAGCTCAATGCTGTAGATAGTACCAGGAAGTAAAAAAACAAGCAGGACATAGTTGTTGACTTTAGGGAGCTCACTGCTGATTAGAGAGATAGGAATGATAAATCAGTCACCTTGGTTTGATTTCTTTCCTCACAATTCAACAATTTCTAGCAGTGAACTTTAGGGTCTTATAACTATGTCATTAAAGGTTTCTTTTTTTATTTATAGTTCTGCAAAATGCAATGTGAAATAAAATCTGGAAGAAAAGCTACTAAGAACGAGAAAATCAAATGTATTAAGAATATGGGGCTGGGTGTGGTGGCTCACGCCTGTAATCCCAGCACTTTGGGAGGCTGGGCAGGTGGATCACTTGAGCCCAAGAGTTCGGGACCAGCCTGGGCAACATAACGAAACCCAGTCTCTACAAAAAAAATACAAAAATTAGCCTGGTGTGGGAGTGCACATGTATAGTCCCAGCTACTCAGGAGATTGAGGTGAGAGGATTGTTTAAGCCCGAGAGGTGGAGGCTACAGTGAGCTATAATCTTGCCACTGCAACTCCAGCCTAGACAACAGAGTGAGACTCCCTGTCTCAAAAAAAAAGAATCTGGGAATGGGAATTCTCTGCTGTAAAGGTTGCCTTTTAAGAAAGTCTGTTTATATCTATCTGTTTATGTCTCTCTACAGATCTATATCTGTTTATATCTATTAGTATATCTATACATATATATATATACACACACACACGTATCTGTTTATATCTGTCTCAAAAAAAACAGGACTCTACCTCTGAGCCAGGAATCAGTGTGAACATAAAGACCTGGATATTCCAATACTAAGTCAGGTGTTATTCAGTTGTTTATTTGAAAATTGCTTTATGAAATAAACACTATGTGTTCTTTATAAGATTCTGTTTATCCTAAGAATTTCCAGTCTAGTGACGTGATAATGCCATGAACTAATCATCCAATGCTGAATGTCGGAGCACAGGGTAGTCAGGGAAAGCGTGAAGAAGGAAAAGGTTTCAGTGGAAGTGGACACATGGAGGCAGAGAGATGTTCAGGAAGCAGCAGAGTAAAATAACTCCACCTGTGCAATTTCAGCTGCCTGGTAAATATTTCTACTCGAATGCCTTGGGTACCTCAAACCCTTATGTCACTAATGGACATAACCTACCTACATCTTCTGTATTGCCAGTATCCCGCCAGTCAACCCAAACTCAAAACTGAATGCTTATCACTTTTCTCAACATTTTATTATGAAATTTTTCAAACAAAAAGGATTGAAAGAATTATATAATGAAAACTGCATATTCTCCACCAGGAGTTTACAGTTAATATTTTCTTTTTGCTTTATCATATATCTGCCCACCTTTTCATCCACCAGTCCATGTTATCTTTCTTAGTGTATTTCAAAGTAAATTGCAGGTAACATACACTTCACCCCTAAACACTTCAGCTTGCATATCATTAACCTGAGTTTAATATTTCTTTTCAGGAATTTGTAAATATGAAATTTACATATAGGGAGGCTGAGGCAGGAGAATAGCTTGAACCCGGGAGGCAGGTGCTGCAGTGAGCCAAGATCACGCCACTGCACTCCAGCCTGGGCGACAGCGCGAGACTCGGTCTCAAAAACATAAAGATAAAATTTACATATGGTGAAATGCATAGATATTGAGTATATAATGAGTTTTGATAGATGCACTCACCTGTGTGGTAAAGCCTCTATCAAGATACAGACATAACCATCATCCCAGAGAACTCTCTAATACCCCTCTCCAATCCATCCCCAATCCCAGAGCTGACAACTGTTTGAATTTTTTCCAGTCTCATGGTTCACTTTTACATTTCCCCCTTCCCTGCTCCCTTCCAACTATTTCTGCACAAATATTAAGCTTGATGGTCTTCCTTCTTAATATCTTTCAAGCCTTTAGCTCCTCCATTACCACTGCCACTGTCTTAGGCCTCATTCCTTTCTAAACTTACTGTAATAAGTGGCCTTGTTTTGTTTTTTTATTCTTCTGCCGTGCAGTTAATCTCACACATTGATGCCAGAGTAATCTTAATCTTAAGTAGCACGTTGATGATGGCAGTCCTGTGTTCTGCATCTTCAGTGAATTCTTACTGCTTTTATGGTAGACTCTAATCTCCAAGAGGACCAGGTCCACATCTGTCTTGCTATCCCTAGTGTTTAACCTGCCATCTGGCTTATTGTAGACAGTTGGTAAATACTTGTCAAAGGAGTAAATATCAGGTAAGTTCAAACCTTGGCCAAGCATTCATTAAGTGTCTGGATTTAGCCTAATCCTCCCTTTTCAGCTTTACCTCTTATAAGTCTATTGTACATACACTGTGTGGAAATCAGACTTGTTTCCCATACATTCTTATCTCTATTCCTTTGCTCATTTTTTACAGTGACCTTCCTCTTCTTACATATTGAAGCTCTGCCCTCTTTGCAAGACCTAATCAAATGCCACCTCTTCTAAGACATCCTGAACACCCCCCATTAGAGTTAACATCTAAACTCCCATATTACCTTGCTGTCTTATTGCACTTATTTTCTTCCTTGTATTGATTGGCATTATCTTTGTACATATTCTCTTTCCCTTACTAAAGACTATAAGGGAAGACTGGTTCTTAGAATTCATAGAAGGAGCTGGTGGAGTGGCTCACACCTGTAATCCCAGCAGTTTGGGAAGCGGAGGCAGGTAGATCACTTGAGGTCAGGAGTTCGAGACCAGCCTGGCCAACATGGTGAAACCCCATTTCTACTAAAAATACAAAAATTAGCTGGGTGTGGTGGCATGTGCCTGTAATTTCAGCTGCTCTGGAGGCAGAGGCAGGATAATTGCTTGAACTTGGGAGGTGGAGGCTGCAGTGAGCCAAGATTGTGCCACTGTACTCCAGCCTGGGCGACGGAGTGAGACTCCATCTCAAACAAAATAGAATTCATAGAAGGGGCTACACCCAATTTCTTTAACTTCTCAGTGCTGTCTGCTTGGGGCAGAACATAAGCTCCTTTACCACCTTATAGTATCTTCAACTCCTCAATGTCCTTAGTAAGCACTTTGTAAGTATATGTCAAATGAGTGAATATGTAGATGAAAACATAGTACTGAAAAGGTAGGTCAGGAGCAAATTGTAGAGAATCTTAAATGCCAAAATAAAGGACTTGGCAGCGGGCAGTGTAGGGTTTATAAGCAAGGTTTAGTTATGATCTAAATGATAAGAATAAAATGATAGAATTGTACAAGGTGGATTAGACTAGGGAGAGACTAATAACCAAGAGAGTTATTATAGTCTAGAAGGTTAGTAATAAAAACCTAAGAGAGAGGAGGATCGCTTGAGTCCAAGAGTTCAAGACTGGCCTGGGCAATCTAGCAAGATCCAGGTGTGGTGACGTGTGACTGGAGTCCCAGCTACTCCTGAGGTGGAAGTGGGAGGATCACTTGAACCCAGAAGTTCCAAGCTTCTGTGAGTTTTGATTGTGCCACTGCACTCTAACCTGGTTGACAGAGCAAGACCCTGTCTCTTTAAAAAAGAATTTTTTAAAAAAAGCTTGAGAGAAATAAAATTGAAGAGATCGATTTGGGAGAGGCTCTGAAGGAAAAATTGACAAGATCTACCTAGAGCAGGGGTCCCCAATCCCCAGACCACAGACCAGTAGCCGTACATAGCCTGTTGGGAACCAGGCCACGTAGCAGGAGGTGAGCGGTGGACAAGCCACAGAAGCTTCATCTGTATTTACAGCCACTCCCGTCGCTCACATTACTGCCTGAACTCCACCTCCTGTCAGATCAGCAGGAGCATTCGATTCTCATAGGAGCACAAACCCTGTCATGCTCTACCCTGTCGCAAACCCCAAAAGGCTCCTTATGAGAATCTAATGCCTGATGATCTGTCACTGTCTCCCATCACCCCCAGATGGGACCATCTATTTGGAGGAAAACAAGCTCAGGGCTCCCACTGATTCTACGTGATGGTAAGTTGTATAATTATTTCATTGTATGTTACAATGTAATAATAATAGAAATAAAGTGCATAATGTAATGCACTTGAATCATCCTAAACTCCACCCCTGCCCCTGCCCCTGCCCCTGCCTCAGGTCCGTGGAAAAATTGTTTTCCATGAAACTGGGCCCTGGTGCCAAAAAGACTGGAGACTGCTGACCTAGTG